GAGTCCTGACATGCCATGGCACCGATCTTGTGCCCTTGGGAAAGGCACTTTACACGACTTTGCTCACTTCGCTCAGGTGGAAATGAGTATTGTAAATTGTCCCGTGGTGGTGGCGGCATTAATATCAGTTGAAAAAACTTGAGTGTGCCGTCACCACGTCTTGTGATTACATGTTGGAATAAAAAAATATAAAAAATTTAGCTGGTAGACTGAGCTTAGTTTACTAATATCTTTTTCTATATCTTTACACGCTACTTTTTGTCCGTCAAAAATGACACATTTGAGCGAAATTTTTGTCTTAAGCAGCAAAATGTTGGCAAATGACAGAAAGACAGGCGATGGCTACAATTCTACTCTACAGGTTACAGGTACTTGTACTGTAAGTAAAATTAATTTTGCAGTTGTTTTAATTTCACTGTATGAGGGAAAATGGGGGTTTTGGCAGCGTTTCGAGTTTTGTGGATCATATAAATGTGTGAACGTTAAACAGTGGAAATACAAAAGACAATGTACACATATTCGCAATGTTATGATTTCACAGTAAAATTAATAGAAAATTTTCAAAATTTACAGTATGTCAAAGCAACTTGCTTATGCCCAAACTTGAAGCCAGGATAGTCGCTTGAGGACATCTATAGGTAGAACCATTTTTCGTGTCTTATACTCAAAAGAATGCGATATTATCTGAATGTGCACTGACTTTTAAGCATACAGGTGTCACTTTACCTATTGTTGACCTCACACTATCAATCAAAACAAACTGCCAACTCAACTGTTTCTAATGATTCTCACATGATAGCAGGACTGCGTCACAAGGTTAAGGGTTACAGTGAAGAATTTGATTTTAACTTTGGCCTTGTAGGTAAAAAGACCTTTTAGTTTCTAGCAGGGGTGACGCGGGTTGAAGGGCATGCGCACAAGTTGCTGGGTGAGGAAGCTAAAGAACATTAAAACCCTATCTTGGGTGGGATTTTTGTTGAATTCTTGGCATTTTTGTGGTGGATTGTGCAGTGTAGGGTTTTGAGCGAATGTTTTTGCAAAAAAAATGAAGTTTTTTCATGAAATTGCCTTGTTATGGGCTTCTCTGTTGCCATACACCCCTCCTGCCGAGTGCCTTGGTATCGACCTAGAATATTGGGTCAAAGTGCACGAATTCTTATAAACAAGGCTGTACCTCGAGACTAGCCGTCCACTTTTTTCCAAAACTTGTTGTAGGTACATATTATTAAATGGGCTAACACGTGAAGGTGAGTTTGTAAACTAGAGATATGATGTCCATTTTCATGTCTGATTTAGCATATGTTTCAATGGAGAACCCTTTCAATGGTGTCTCCCCAGCAAGGCATCTTTAATAGAAATCACGCCAGGGCTCGAAATGCTTTTTTCTGCATACATGTACCTGTAGGTAAAGTTTATCCAGTGTTGGTAAACATTCAATGCAGAAAAATGTATTTCTAGCCCTGCCCCAACATTTGGGCCAAATACGCAATCATTATACTAGTATTACGCCACATGATTTGTTGTTTAACTTGTTAGAATCGACAGGTTTTGCCCAATGGCTCCAAATGGCCTCAGGACTGGTCACGAGATGCCTCTACTTACTAGTAATACTACTGTCATCCCGTGTTTGGGAGAGCCACACCCCATGCACGTTTAAGAACCCACCACACTTATCAAAAAGAGTATGGGACCTTCTCGGTGTGAGTGGTTCAAACATTGCAGTCCGGTCTTACGCAGCTTGTATATGTAAAAAACTGCTGTGTTACGCCTAAAGGCGGTTTACCGGTTATGCGAATTTAAGCAGCGAAACAAACAAAAAGTATCAGTTTTTGTTTGTTTCACTTAACCCTTGTCCTGCTGGCATTCCTGGCACAATATTTTTCAATAATTTCATGTCTTTAAAATTAGTCATAGACCCCAAAATTTTTTTGCCCTGCAGTGGCATAGTTACTTCCGCATTCATTGTATTTCGCTACGGTGTGATGCGTTGCACAAGAAATACCCCCAAATCGTACATATACAGGCCATATAGATGGTACTGTATGTGCAGAACAACAATTATTGTGCTCCGCAGGACAAGGGTTTAACAGGCGAACTGCCTTTTAGCGTAACAGTACCAATAAACCAGTTTTGTACAGTAACATTAAGTACAAGCTGTGTAAGACACTGGGATGGAAACCTACTCTTTTCGGTGGGATCTTTAACGTGCTTGAGGTGTGGCTCTCCTCAAAAACAGGACCTCCAGCTTTACGTCCTATCCGAGAGGACATCCCTAACTGAAGCTAGGTACTCATTTTTACCTGAGTCAAGTTAGGAAATAGGTGCTAAGTACTTTTCCCGAGGACACAACAGTGAGTGTTGCTTGTCGGGGATCGAACCCAGAACCTTCAGATTCTGAATCCACTACCCCTACTAAACCACAACAACACTTTGCAACCTATTTCAGAATAATCACATTTCACTGAGGAAATAATATCGAAAATCAAATTGAATCACTAGCAGAATGGAAAAATTTATCATGTCGTAACATATAAAAGTAGGTCAATAACCTGCTGTAACATATGTTCCTATTGTTATACTCAATAACCTAAACTGCGTCACAAGAATTGGCTCTAATTAAGTCTAAAGATAACTTTGGTGGTAGTGTAAATGATCAAGAAAGATTTCATAGAAAGAATACATTCTGACCAAATGAACACAGATATATGCTAAGGCAATGGATACGAATAGGCACATCCTCATCCTAATAACAAGTTGTTATTGACAGTACGTAGTGAAACACAAGGGGCGATTAGAAACACTCAGGCCTCTAGCTTGAGAACCCAATGCACCAACCACTAGGCTAAAAGGTCAACAGGTCAGTTGGTGGTGCTTGAAATTGAACCACACAACAGATTATGTGCAGCAACTTGAATCTTTGAATCAGTATCTGTCCATTCTGCTCAGTCAATGGAGCCTTGCAAATGGGAGACTGTGGGTTCAATATCCAAGACCGCATCATTTTTATATTTCACTCCATACCACAGGTCTGGCAGTGAAACATATTGTCAATGTGTTTCCTTTTCATTATTGTCCTGCCATTTATTTGGTCAAATGGATTCAACTCACCTGTGTCATTTTCCAGGCAAATGTCCTGAAAACCCTTTACGCACGATTTAACCTTTTTTCTGGCAACAACTGAACTGAACTGGCAACAATTGCCGGACTGACATTTGACCTACTAGTAAGTGACGTAACGCTACATGTACTCAAATGTGATGTTAACTCATTTGTCAGCATAATGACATTTGACATAATGTCCAAAAAATGTTACATGGATGCTACTAGAAGCATCTTAAAATACCAGATCAGAAAAATGCCAGAAATATTCATGCCTTCAAGTACCAGAGTTATCAACCAAAGATCGAGGTGTTTTCCTAGAACTTTCATAGAGTTTGCCACCACCAAGTACAGTAGGACCATCATCACATGGTAACTTACCGTAAGACGTGTAAACAGTTAGGTGTGTGACAGGTCATTCAGTGTAATATAACCAGCTGCTAATACAGATACAAAAGCTGGTGTGTTGCACCAAAGGGCGGTTACTAGTATACCAGGGCTCGAAATACTGGGTGCATGTGCACCCAAAATTGGAGCTGTGCACCCAATTTTTTTCTGTGATATTTTTGTAGGTTTACGTATGTAAAGATGTTAAATGTATATCGTTGAAGAGATTCATTTGTCACGTATAGATACAGTTCCTAGTGAATTCTTTAATCAGTGACAACTTTGGAAGGATAAGGATACTAACCTCCAAATTTTCGATGGCTATCACTATCAGTCCATCTTGTTCACGGAGTGGCCTAATCTCGCGAGAGCGCGAGACTAGGCCCGAGACTTGCATCGGTCTGTCGGGTCCCACCCCCCGCCGCCTCCCTCCGAAGTAGGGGTAAGTAAGTCTTGAATTGTTTTGATGTTAACGTTTTGCAGAAAACCCTTAATGGATCAAGGGGTTTTTTGCAAAACGTTAACATAAAGTATCAAAATTATTCAACTTAATATTGATA